CTTACAAACATATCAATGCTACTCTGTTGTACGATGGGCTTGGATGGAAACACAGATTTTGGAATACCTCCACTTCCACTGCCGCTGCTTCCCTGACTGTTTTCTGTAGCTTAAAAAAAAATAATGACTTTCAAATCATCAGTGTTGACAATAGTTATATCATTGACCAAGTGTAACATGGCATACATGAATACATTAAGGTAGACATTACATTACTCCAAACAAATAATTCAAAACAGATTTTCATGATTTTTGTCTTACGTATATAAGAGTAGTTTCCAATCAATGTCAAATTTAAACTTCCATGTGAATAAAGAATATATGCAATCACTGATATGTTATAAAAACTTCTGAACATTTCAAGACTAAGGTCAGAATCGTGGGCCAGCAGTCATTTAGCACAAAACTTTATTGATGACCAAACATCACGATTTTTCCATAAAAGACTAATACATATAGCATAACATTTAATCAGATCAATTGTGAATTGGGGTTATTTTTGACAATGGCAGCAAGTCAGACAAATTTTATCAAAATAACTGACAGAAGTAAATAATCATAACAGATGATGCATTTTAAATATTAACAAATTGTTTGTAATTTCCCATCTGTTTCATGATGATTGATGACTGGACAATGTTGCCATGTAATTAAACAAATTCTTCTGTAACAGAAAATGACAAAATTTGGTCAAATTGAAACATTGATGTTATTCAAATGCCATTATTAGCATATTTTGTCAGAAGTAAACAAAATCTCAATCGGCATCATAGCCAATGAAGTTTCACAGCTACAGTAATTGTACATTGATTTTCTGTGATTTCGAAAAAAGTAAAGTCAAGAGCGAACAGAAAAGGCACAAATGATTCTTAGGTGTTGGAATTACCCACCAGTTGAACAAATATGGGCATGTAAGTCTTTGAAAAACCACCCAATCATGTAAGATATGATGTCAGTTTAGTGCCAAAGGTCACCACTTAATTATTATCAATTCATCAAACACGAATACTGAACAACTTTCCACTTTGGCTGGTGTTACTATGGACAGAAACAATCAACAACAAGAGACAACTCAAAGTTTTAAAAAAATGTATGCAAACTCTCTTGATATCACGACACATTCATCAACCATTATACATGTAAGTATTCCAACTCAAAGGGTCAAACAAGTTGCACTGAAATCACCGGCCACAGCCACTAACTTTAACCAAATGGTGAAGCACTGAAATCTCCCTTCCAATATTAAACTTCCCACTCATTGTGCAAAATATAGTACGAAGAATTAATCTGAAGGTTTCATTATATGTATACAAGATTTGTCAGATTCCTGCATCACACCTACATTTCACACTCCGCTCACACGAGAATGACTCTGCTCACACGAGAATGACTCCGCTCACACGAGAATGACTCTGCTCACACGAGAATGACTCCGCTCACACGAGAATGACTCCGCTCACACGAGAATGACTCCGTTCACACGAGAATGACTCCGCTCACACGATAATGACTCAGCTCACACAAGAATGACTCTGCTCACACGGTAATAACTCAGCTCACACAAAAAAGATGCAGCTAACTTGAGAATGACTCAGCTCACACAAGAATGACTCAGCTCACACAAGAATGATTCAGCTCACACAAGAATGATTTAGCTCACACAAGAATGATTCAGCTCACACGAGAATGACTCAGCTCACACAAGAATGACTCAGCTAACTTGAGAATGACTCAGCTCACACAAGAATGATTCAGCTCACACAAAAATGATTCAGCTCACACAAGAATGACTTAGCTCACACAAGAATGACTCAGCTCACACAAGAATGACTCAGCTCACACAAGAATGACTCAGCTCACACAAGAATGACTCAGCTCACACAAGAATGACTCCGCTCACACACGAATGACTCCGCTCACACACGAATGACTCAGCTCACACACAAATGACTCAGCTCACACACAAATGACTCAGCTCACACACAAATGACTCTGCTCACACACAAATGACTCAGCTCACACACAAATGACTCAGCTCACACACGAATGACTCAGCTCACACACAAATGACTCCGCTCACACACAAATGACTCAGCTCACACACAAATGACTCAGCTCACACACAAATGACTCAGCTCACACGAGAATGATTAAACCTCACAGCCATATAACACATATAGCAATATTCTATGGTTACAGCTGAGCTGCACTAAGTTTTGTATGTTGCATACAACTCACCTTTTGTGGGTGTTGCTGATAAATCTGAATCAGATGCTCTTCTTGTGGAGCTTACACATGGTACTGACTTGGTCGGTGACATCTTGGGTGGTAGCACAGTCGTTGGTGAATTTGGCGATAAGGGATCAACTTCCTCAGGAAGTAGACATCTTGGAATAAAAAAAAATTAACAAAATTCTTTTATACATACTTTATGTTAAAATCTTCAACACAATAAAGTGTTAACTAATTGTCAGCAGTTTTCAATATCTGAGGCAGGCCAAGTACACCTAAATGAGCACACTGCTACAAGTGTATGAGGTATATCAGTATGTACAATTACTGCATCCACATATTTAGATGGTTGATGATATTACTGAGTAGTCAAAAGAGACTGAAGAAAAATGAAAAAGATATAGCAAGTAAAAATCCCAGCAATGCCTCAGAAAGTCACTTACTTTTTCCTGCTAAATTCCCACAAACTATGATATGCAATAATTGAGAAAAAATAGAATAAATCTAATTAATAATTTTTGGAATGAACATGCAGCCAACAGTGAGGAAAAGAATATAACAAGCCATGCATGGCACAGTCCTTGTTAGTTATTAAATCTAAGTTTTATAGTTTTGTTTATAATAATATAATATGAGCGCATTAATTAAAACAAAATAGCCACCAGTCAGACATTTTGAAATGGACAGTTAAACCCATACATCTGTATATCTATGACATGATGTATAATGAATATTTAAATTTGAACATCAGTCAAAGCATGTCAGAGATATGGCTCTAGAACTGCATTCATTAAAACAAAAGGCCACCACTTAGCCATTTTGAATCTGATTTTGGAAACAAAATGATGTGCATCAGAGACCCATAATGTTCAATGTACATATACCAACAAAATACATCTGTAAACAGCTGCATAATGCTTGATTTTGATAATTTTTTAGCACAAAAACGGTCGCTATTTGGCCATCTTGAAACAGATCATGAAAAAAATTGATGTGCATATGTATAATATTATGTATGATGTACATGTACATGTATGTGTGAAGTTTGAATGTAAACAGTCCACGCATGTCTAATATATCAGTCTGCCTGCATGGATGCACACACAGTGGTCAATCCATAAGTCCCTGCTTTCAAACTACATTCGAACAAGGACTAATAATGGATCATCCAGTGGGTAGTGTGAATAATAGAAGAGAATGAACCCTTTAGTAACTAACTATATCCAACAGACAAGAGTGTTTGCCATCTACAATTAGGTTTAGATAATACTAACTCTCGTAGTGGATCCCTCGATGGACTGGCTGAAAGGGGTGATGATAGCAATGTACTTGTCTTAATAAGATAAACAGCAGTACCAACACCACGAACTACAATACCAGACTCACCCTCTAAGTCAAAACATTGATTGTAACTGAAAAAAAATATATATATGTTCACACTCTAATAATATTTGCACATCACAAACGCATGTTAGATTGGTCACAGGAGAATTTCCTTTTCCTTCATTAAATTGTTAATTGACCAAATAAAAGTGATTCACAAGACTGAGTGAGTACCCCTGTACCTAATAACCATGAACAGGGGTTGTTGCAAAAAAAGGAAAAGTGTTTAGGTGGTTAATAAGCTAGGCTCTAGTATTGTTTTTATGCACGAAACGCATAGCAGTACAGATGTGGTTAAATTTTGGAGTAAGCAGTGCAGGGGAAAGATGTTTTTTAGCCATGGTGTTTCCAACAGTAAGGGGGTGTTGACTATCTTTCGAAACATAGACTATGAGGTTTTAAATACAATATGTGACCCAGGGGGCAGGTATTTAATTCATGATGTTATGCTATATGGGAAACATTTTCTTTTGGTTAATTCATACGCCCCAAATGAAGAAAAACTGTACATCAATTTTCTGAAGAATTTACTCAGTGAGATCAGGGGGAGCATGTCAGACCCAGATATCCAAATTGTATGGGGGGGGGGGGAAGCAATCACAACATTGTATTGGACATGGTTAAAGATAGGAAAGGTGGTAACCCCCAGAGAACGGTTCGTGTTTCGGAAATGTTTCATGGCCTTTTGGAGGCGGTTGATCTGGTAGATGTATGGAGAATTATACATCCTGAGAAAAGTAGCTTTACATGGATACGTTTTAATCCTGAATTGATCCAAAGTAGACTAGACTATTTTCTGGTAAGCCAGTCACTTATTAGTGATGTAGTTAAAACAGAAATTTTTCCGGTGTGCTGTCTGATCATTCGACGGTCGTCATTAGCTTGAAATATGACGAAACTGTACGTGGTCCCTCATATTGGAAATTGAATACTAGCTTATTGAGAGACACTGATTATATTGAGCTTATTGAAAACCAGTTCCCTAGTTGGCTAAAAGAAGGCAAGGATATTGAGGACCCGCGTATGGTATGGGACTGGCTTAAATATTGTGTTAAGAAAACCTCAATAACTTTTAATAAATAAAAAAAGAAAAAACAAACAGTAAAAATAGAAAATCTGGAGCGAAAACCAAAAATTCTGGATGAAAACTAATTATGTAAATCAGGTAACTAATATGAACAGAACAGAACAAAAATTAAGAATTATTATGCCATTTAGAGAATTAATATTAATCAAAATTAATCAGGCCTGTCTATTGTTCTAGAGCATTTATTTACCAAATTTTATTCAAATGTGATGATCAGTAATTGAGATATCAGTGTTAATAAATTATGTTAATTAGGTGATTAATAAGCATAAATATTTACCAAAAACTAATTGGGTTTCTGCATAGTTCTCTTTAAAAGTTTCATTAAAATCCAATTTGTGGTTCTTTATATATCAGTGGAACATTATGCAAATTAGGTAATTAATATTCAATTAAAACTAATCAGGTGTCTGCATAATCCTAGAAGATCTATGTAGCAAAAGTCTCATTGAAATATGATGATTACTACTTGATATATCAAAAGCTGAAAATTAATTAATTATGCAAATTAGGTAATTAGTATGTGCTCATATTACCCTAAAAACTATCAGGTCTGTGCAGTGTCCTATGACATCTATGTACCAAATTTCATTGAAATGTGATGATTACTACTTGAAATATCAAAAGCTGAAAATTAATTATGCAAATTAGGTAATTAATATGTACTCATATTACCCTAAAAACTATCAGGTCTGTGCAGTGTCCTATGACATCTATGTACCAAATTTCATTGAAATGTGATGATTACTACTTGAAATATCAAAAGCTGAAAATTAACTAATTATGCAAATTAGGTAATTAATATGTACTCATATTACCCTAAAAACTATCAGGTCTGTGCAGTGTCCTATGACATCTATGTATCAAGTGTCATTGAAATGTGATGATTAGTACTTGAGATATCAGTGGAAAAGCCGAAAATTGATTAATCATTATGCAAATTAGGTAATTAATATTGCACACATTTCTACCCTGAACTAATCAAATCTGCGCATTCGTTTGGAGCATCTGTGTGCCAAGTTTCAACAAAATTCAAAGAGTCGTTCTTTAGATATCAGTGGAACAGTCATGGAACAGCTAAAAATCAGCTAATTATCATGCAAATTAGGTAATTAATATGCATGGATTTTTACCAAAACCTAATCAAATCTGCGCATTGGCCCAGAGCATCTATGCACCAAGTTTCATCAAAAATTGATGTATGGTTCTTGAGATATCAGTGGAACAGACAGACACACATACACACACACATACAGACACACAGACACACTAACTGCAAAGACTCCCTTTTTGTGCTTCGCACACAGGAGTCAAAAAGCAGGCTATGTACATCTCAACGACAAGCTGTAATAATATTGCTGGAGAAAAAAGGAAGTGATAATAGCAAGATCCAAAATTGGCAGCCTATATATCACTCCTCAATTCAGATTATAACATTGGTACAAAATGTATAGCTAAAAGAAAAAGTCCTTCTACACTTAATACATACAACCCAATCGACTTTTGTCAAAAATACATTTATTGGAGATTTTGTGAGATTGGTTGACTGTGTAATGGAGTACATGGACGAGGAGAACATCCCTGGTTTGTTATTACCAGTAGACTTTGAAAAAGCTTTTGATACTGTGGAATGGCCCTTCCTCTTAGAGCATTGGAGACTTATAATTTTGGCCCAAGTTTTATAAAATGGATAAAAGTTTTTTATTCTGACATCTCTAGTTGTGTTATGAAAAAAAGCTGGGGGAATAGAAACTCTTTTAAGAAGTAATTTTAATATTAATGTTCTTCCAATTACTGTGAGGGGTTTCTTTCGTAGTATGTTAGAGTCGTGGCTAGCAGTCACAGCTCTGCAAGATGGTGAAAAGCATCCCCTAAATCAAAGTATTTAGAACAACAAACATATTTTACAAGGAGGCAGAAGTATATTTTTGGGAGATTTCAGAGAGGCTGGTTTCCACTATGTTGGAAATCTTTTTGATAATAAGGGCCAACTTCTTCAATGGGGTGAAGTGGAAAAAAGGGAAATACCTTGCAAGAGGTTTTTGGATTGGTTTGGAATTGTGGTCGCACTACCATGCGAATGGAAAAAGGAAGTAGATATGAACAAATTTGCTAGCCTTGAGGATGATATGTTGGGTATCAGATTTGTGGGCGTTCAAATTCATTTGAAACAATGTAAAACTAAGTTGGTGACTCCAGAAGTGATAAA